TTATTTTTTTTTTTAGTTATTTCATCTGCAAAACTAAATATTTTTATTATAGAATTTAGAATTTTTAAATTACAATACATTGGCTATTTGCCACTTGAAATAAAGGTCGAATTTTTTACCAAAGGGATTTTTTGGTGTGGGCGATTCACTTTTCGATTGAGGAATGTCGTGTGGGTTATTATGAACTCGTCGTAAATTTCGTATTAGTCTTTTCTCATTCTTTTCTCATTCTTTTCTCAAGGTGCACTTTGTTGAGTTCAGTTCGTCCGAAAGTGTAATAAAGTTGATATCATGGTGGTCCTACTGGGAGCGGCTTGAATTTATTGATTTTTATTTTTTTTTTTTTGTCATGTGTAGCACCTTTTTTGATCGAAATAACATTCCCACTTAAAACAGAAAGAATTTTTCTTATTTCGAGAATGTTAAAAATAATTTATGTATATTGTATCAAGAGCATTCCCTCTTGGAAAGATTTCCCGGAAAGTATCAAAATTCCGTCGGAATTCCAATTCCATCGGAGTTCCAAAGAATTTCCAATGGGATTCCGGCGGAATTCCGATTGATTTTTTTTTTAAATTTTTAGAGTCCTACATTAAGAAAATTATTATTATTATAAAATAGAATTTTTGTCATAGAAACTTTACTAAAAATAATTTTATTTTTTATGAAATATTTCTCAGCAGAGCTAGAAATCAAATGGCTTTCTATTGTCCAGTATTCATTTGGACAAAAAAAATTTTTTTTTTCTAAATTAATTATCATTTTGATAATAATAATAATAATAACAATTTGAGTACCATTGACTCTCTTATTACACTGTTATTACATATTTATTACGCTCTGATCACACTTATTACTAAGTATTACGGTTTATTACAGAGTTATTACATGGGATATTTGGATTTTACAATTACGTAATAACGCATTATTACACGTTATTACACGTTATTACACTATTATTACAAGATGAGTGTACCATTGACTTCCTGAGTAAATTCCCCCCTCGGTATTCCATGTGTAAAATTAAACTTTAAATGTTAGTCTTGCAAGAAATTAATTTTATTAATATAAATTAATAATATTATAATTTTTATCAATTTTTTTTACTCTTAAACAACTGGAAATAATTATTATTGCAAGGCTGTTTGTTTTTAAGGCTCATTAAAAAAGATATTAAAAATCATCTGATCATTTGATTACTATATATTAGAATATAATTCTGTAGAAAGCTCCGATGAAATCTCCTGGGAACTCTTTCTGGGGAATCTTTTTTAAAGTCGGAAATGTTTCATCAAAAATACATTTTTTTTTTTTACAAAGTTTCTCTGATAATTCAATCTTCTGAGTCATACACTAAGATTATTTTTTAGTAAAGTTTCTACTCTCTAAATCTGAATTAGTAAAAAAGTTTACTAATTTGAATTAGTGACTCACTTTTTGCTTCTCAATTAGTAAAATTTTACTAATTATTAGTAACTTTTACTAACAATTAGTAAAATTTAACTAATTCTAAAGCAAAAAGTGAGTCACTAATTTAAATTAGTAAACATTTTTACTAATTCAGATTTAGAGAGTATGTTAAAAATTGTATTTTATAATAATAATAATAATTTTTTTAATGTAGGACTCTAAAAATTTTGAAAAAATTAATCGGAATTCCGTCGGAATCCAATCGGAAATTTTTTGGAACTCTGATGGAATTCCAAAGGAATTACGTTGGATAGTTCCGGCGGAATTCTGATAGAACCTCCAGGGGTCATTTTCCGGGGAATCATTCCAAATGGGATTCGAAATTAGTAAATACAAAAATTCATCAGAATTCTTTTGTTTGTTCTATTTAAATTAACATGTAACTTTTGTTACACTTTTCATTTTGATAATCAATTTGTTAGAAATGAATTATTTTTGCAACAATATATAACTGATGAAAAATAAAACGATATTAGCAAATACATATTTATGCAAATGAAAAATTTCCAATTGGATCTATGTAAATGCAATCGTATCTTAGGAGCAATTCAAAAATGCCCTCGGGCCACATATATCCACTTCACGAAGAGAGGTCGTTTATGATAAGATCTATAAGATCAGTAGCCACAGGAGTCTTTGGAACGTACATCATATCGATAAAGATCAATCGACGTTCATAGATGTTCATAACACTGTTCTTCTAACAACATTTCCTTGTTGGGAACTCAATTATTATTGTGTGAAAAATTTTACCTTTAGGCTATAAAGCGTAGATAATAATTTATCATTTCGAAAAATTCAATTTCGGTTTTTTTTTTTTTTGTAAAAATTTATTTAATTTTGAAAAAAATTTTTTTGGATGGACAAATTTCAAAACTTTAATTTATGTGTTGAGGGTTTTTTGGTCTTAAACGCCCCGCTTAATAATCGGCTAAACGGCTTGTTATCCTTAATTAGTCGTAAATCATCACTGCTTCGCAGTGGATTAACAGCGACTAGCCAGAATCACCGCATCCCAATATACCCTATAATGCGGAACAATATATATATATATATATACCAGATTTACATCACTCGCGAGGAAAGAAAAATTACTTGCTTCATTGCATAAGAAAATTTTAAAAAGTTAAATATTTTTTATTTTAAATAAAAAAAGTAGTTTTTTTTTAGCAGGAGGAGTATTTTTTAGAATAGGAGGCAAAAAAAAAAAAATTGTTGTTTTTTATACGAATTCAATATCCGATATTAAGACTTCATTTTACATTTATGAAATTTATACATAAATTTTCTCCATCATAGTTTACGTGAAGGAAAAAAAATATACTTTTGGCGCCAGTATTATGAGTTACGCAATAGAAACATTTAATGTTCGTTCACGCAGATTAACTACGCATATATACATATGTATATATTTTGAGTTATAACTCATAAGAATTTTCCAGTTCAGAGAGACTTGATTTGCTGATAATAACAGTTTATTTTATTACCTTTTTCCGTGGAAATATGTTAGAATTTTTGATTTATATAACTCGTGGAATAATATTAGCCTCTTGGGACAAAAATTTAATTTAATTTTATTAATTTGTTTTTTTATTTATTTTTATTTCTATTTATTTTTATTATTTTATATTTATTTTTATTTATTTTCTATACTTTGATTAAAAATAGAAACATTTGATCTGCATTCTTTTGAAGCAAAAAAATGTCTCGTTTTACGATATATATATATATATAGAGAGAGAGAGAGAGAGGGGTGAGAGCTGAAGAATAAAGTGATTGGTAAATGCGAGCTGTCCAACACCTTTCGTTGGATGTGTTTAATGTGGGTAATTAGATGCGTGCAGCATACGAGAAAGTAAAAAAAATTTTCAACATGACCGTTCACTAATTATCTTCTTGGCTCAATCCTATTATTGCTGCTGCCGGTAGAAATGCACTGACATTAATGTCAGATAATTAAACAAACTTAATTTGCGATTATTTTTTAGTAAAAAACTAAATTTTTTATTTTTCACTTATAATTGTATATTTACAAAGTAAGGGAAATAAAAATTGAACTATATGGTAATAAATTTTTGCATGCCAATAAAAAAAGAATTTAAAAAAAAAAAAAAAGGACGCAACTACTCGAAGGTGTGTCGAGCGCAATAATTATTGATTTTATCTGGCGTGGGCTGCATTCCAAAAGACGACAATAAACCGACAAGATAAGCATCCATGAGATTTAACGAAATGGGAGGATTGTTCGCAATTACCAATTATTTTGAATTCTATCTTCTTTTTTTTTTGAATCGATGAAAAGCGCTTAGAAATTTGCAATTACAAATTTTTAAATTATCGATTTATTGAAATGAGGTGGTTTTTTCTCTTAAAAAAAAGGTGGTTTTATCAAAAGTACATAATGAAATACTTTTAAAAATTTTTCGAAAAAAATACTGATATAAAATTTCTAAAACGTTCTCGCTATTACAAATTCCAAGATGAGACATAATATTTTGTTGGCAGTAATCTGTCCAGTCGATGAGATAGGATGAAATGGTGGAACCTCTATGTAAATGAGCAAGGGCAATTAACCACAAGAAAGGTGAAGTTGCGAGAAGAGTCCATGTTCAACAAGAATTGAAAAGACTAGGCGTGTGATATATTTTTTTTTTTTCCAGTAAAATTAAAGTCTAATTTACATTTACGAATCACCAAGACGACGCGACGAAACTTATTAAAAACACATTTGACATTCTTTCGTTGAAACTAATAATTTTATCCGATTTTTTTTAACTTTTCATCACTTTTGGTAATGATAATTTAATAATTTTTTTTAGTCGATTTTTGGAATTTTTAAATTAGACGAAAATTTATCAATTAGAAAAGAAGTAATTTTTAAAATAACCAAAATAAAATGTTTAGTGATAAAAATTTTGATGCAGAAAGACAGTAAAGAAAATACAATATATATATATGTACGTATCCAATTTGTGTTGGCACACGTCGAAGATTTATACCTCCATAAATTTTGTAATGAGCAATAGTCATCAATTTTTTATGGGTTAATCAGCTTTAGAGTTTCTTCTTTTGATAGTTTCTAACGTAGAAAGGAACAATCTAAATGCAATTAACATCAATAATAATTTGTAAATTGAAAATTAAATACTGCTCTGCTATTGAATTATATTTTGCATTTTAAATAAAGACATGAAAGTGGCATAGAGAGAGAGAGAGAGAGAGAGAGAGAGAGAGAGAAATTGGAGGGAGAGGCGACTTAATATTTTAATCTTGAATTTCATATTTTATCTTGACTTCATGAGTGTGTCAGGTAGCTGGAAATTTACATGGCGGAACCTGATCACAGGCAACTTTATGTTGCCATGTAAGGAACTCCTCTAATCCACTCTCGTATAAAATACTATGTATATGCGCGCGGCAATTGCTTTCTTCACATACACTTTATTTTTGCTTTTAATTAGTCACGTTTTTTTAAATGCAAAATTAAAAAAAAAAAAATACTTTTAGAGAAAATAATTTTAAATTCGAAATTAAAAAATAGGTACTTTTTTCACAATTTATTTTACATAAAAAATGTAAAAAAAAAAACAATATAAATATTTGGCTGATAAAACTATTTTTTTAAAAAAAATATATATTCATTCACTTATTATGTAATTTACATTATCGGAGTTAATCAACTTATTAGATTTTAACCAATTAATAATTTTCATTGAACTTTGATGATATAGTTCCAAGTCATGTTTAGCAAACTCCAATTGCACTTGTAATGAAGAAATAATTGGCTCAAGATCAATGTTATGTGATCGCACGAGTGCTTCAAATTTATCGATTAGAGTTTGAGTGGATAAGTACTGAGACACTTGTAGTAAAATACTTGAAATTTGTTGCACATTTCCACTGCTAAATAATAAATGAATAAATTAAGTTAAATAATTAAATAAAATTAAATAAATTAATTAATTAAATAAAATTAAATAAATTAATTAATTAAATAAATTATTAAATAGAATATATTATAATATGTATACTTACGCTTTAAATATTTTTTCATAGTTCTCGTCAATGAAATTTATTACAAATTCAACTCCAAATAAACTACAAGATAATATAGAGCTAAAAACGTCTTTTAAATTATGTTCATGATACATTCTGTGCCCATTGGTTTTGAATAAAAATGAACGAAGATGTCTGAAAAATTTTATTTTTGTGTTAAAAAATATTCAAGTAATTTATTTAAAAAAAAATAAATAAAAATTGTACTCACTTATCCAATATTTCATAATGTGGGGAACACGAAAGAGCATTAAATATTTCCATTCGTTCAGAAACAACATTTGTAGCATTGTATTTGTTCCATAAAAAGTGCCAATTATCAATATCACCTTTTTTAATTGCTGTTGCATAAACAACAGTTTTCAAATTTCTATGAACTCTGAAAAATAATAATTGTAAATAATAATTGCCAACAATATATAATTGAAATAAGTTAAAATATATAAAAAAAAAATACAAATTGTAATTAATTTAAATTAAATATACCGAGCATTGACACCATTTTTCCATTGGTCAAAGTGACGCAAAGATTTATTTACACAATCTTCTTGACCTAAATTACAGGATATTGAATTTAATTCTCTACGTAATAACATTTTAGTCATGTCATCATCCCTTTTATCATTAAAACCAACTTCTGTATGAATATCTTTTATAAGTCTCAGTAAATATTTCTATAATTAATGAAAATTCACGTTTATAAAAATAGAAACCAAATTTGAAATTTAAGAAAATTTTTTAAAATTATAAATATTACTAACGGTATAAATGTCAAATCCTGTGTGATTTGACATTTTCTTGGTAAGATAATCCAAGGAATTAAAAGCAATTTTAAATGCTATATAATCTTTTTCACGTCTTAAATATTGAAGTCCTTCAAGTGCTAATGTATAATCAACAAGATTTGCCCTTGCAAGATTTAATAAATCATCAATAATAGCCGCTCGATTTAGTGGAAGAATATTTTTAAAATGACAACTATTTAAAGTTTCAATTATTTTACGCCATGAAACCGTATCGTAATTAACTCGATAGAAACCTTTAAATATTTAAATTTATTAATCATTGTTTTCAAAAAAAAAAAATGGAAAAAAAATATATTGTTTCTCACCAGCAGCTTCTACATTAAAAATAATCCAATCATTTTTTTTGTTATCTATTGTGATAACCTCATCGTCATTAATCCACCTATTAACACCAGACGATGGTGTTGATTGTGAAATCCAACTAATTGGAATCCACCATTTTTTATTTAATGTTGAATTAGCATTTAGTTTCCCTAATGAAAATGGCATTTGTCTTAGTTTTACCTGATTTTTATCAATTGTTACCAACAATACCGGATATCCGGATTGTTTAGTCCATGTGTTCATTATTGTCTCAACAGAAGTGTCAAGATTAGAATTCATTTTCAACTGCATACTTGCAAATAAATCCTCCGGTTTGCTATTTTTTTCTTTCCTGTAAAAAAAAAAGAATTATAAATGATATCGAGGATTATTTTTTTTTTATCAATATATTTACTTTGATTGAAGATATAGTGTCAATGCAGAATCAAGAACTTTAGTTCCAAAAGATAAATCCATCATTCGTATAATACTCAATCCTTTATCGTACGAAATACTATCAAACATTCCTATAACTTCTTGAGAAGTATGAACATTTCTACTCATTGGTTTTGATAATAAAGGATGTGAATCAATAAGCAGGGCATTTTGACGATTAAGTAAAATTTGTTTCTTCATTCTCCATTTTGATTCAATCTGAAATTACAATTACAAAATGAAACAATTCTTGTATAGGGTCAGCCGCGGGGTAAATCCGAACGCTTTTAGTAAGTTTCAACAATAAGTTTTTTCTTTTAAAAGACAATAATTCCAGTATTCTGGTGCATGATATATAAAAACTCAAAAAAAAAAAAAAAAAAAAATACGATAATAAACCTATTATGTAATAATGCATCATATATAAATACAAAAATCAAACAGGTTAAAAATTAAAATCCATTACACAATTAAAACCTTCAATAACTTTATCAAATCATAACGGATTTTTTCAAAACTTGGTACAGAAAGTATTTTGGAGTGATTGAATGTAAATATACAAAAATAAAAGTCAAATTTTTTAAATTCAAAATGGCGAACTTTCCTAAAACTTATTTTTAAAAATGATAAAATTTGCTAACTCCAAATTCGTAATCAGCGACCCTGAAACCCCCCGAGTAACAATTTTCGAGCGAATTCGATGAATTTTTTAATTCTCGCCCGCCATATTGGATCCGCCATTTTGAATTTTGAAAAACTGACTTCAAATTGGTAATCAGCGACCCCAAAAACCCTAGAATATTAAATTTTATTAAGATCCTGAAATTAAGAAAATGTTTCTAAATTGTATTTTTGCAGAAACTTGTCGAAAATCGACCACCAGGAAGTATTTAATGTTCCTACCCTCACTTTTTATAATTTTAATTTCTATTATCACTTCTATTTTTTTATTTTCATTACCATTTCCACTTTCACTTTTTCTAATTCTCATTCGCACTTCCATTTCCACTTTCACTTTTTCTAATTCTCATTCGCACTTCCATTTCCACTCTTTCTAATTCTCATTTCCACTTTCACTTTTTTATTTTCATTACCACCTCCACTTCCACGCTTTTTATTTCCACTTCCCTTTTTCTAATTTTCATTCCCACTTCTACTCCCATTTTTTCCACTTCTAATTTTCATTAGCTGTTGCCATTTCGACTAAAACTATTTCTAATTTCCATTTACACAACCATTTCCACTTTTTTTAATTAACATGGATGGAAATTAGAAAAAGTGAAAGTGATAATGAAAATTTAAAAAATTAGGAATGGAAGTGGGAGTGAAAATATAAAAAAAGTTGTAATGAAAATAAAAAAGTGGAAGATGAAATGGGAATGAAAATTGGAACAAGTGGAAGTGAAAGTGTGAATGATAATTAGAAAAAGTGGTAGTGGCAATTAATATAAAAAACTGGAAGTGGAAATAGGAATGGGAATGAAAATTAGAAACAGTGGAAGTGGAAATGAATATAAAAAAGTGAAAGTGGAAATGGGAATGAAAATTAGAAAAAGTGGAAATGCAGTGGGAATGAGAATTAAAAATAGTAGAAGTGAGAATGAAAGTGCGAATGAGAATTAGAAAAAGTAGAAGTGGAAATGGGAATGAAAATTAGAAAAAGTTTAAGTGAAAGTGAAAGTGGTAATGGGAAAGTAGTGGTAAAGTTTCTGTGAAAATATATTTTAGAAACTCTTAATTTTTTTATAGGTACTAACGTTAGTAACATTAGAATCTCTTGAAGAGGATCAGAGGTCAAAATTCTCATGTATAACTTATTTTTTTAAAATTTTAATAAAGCTGAAATAATTAGCGTTCGGATTTACTCCGGCTGATCCTAATGAAAATTTGAAAAATAATTACCTCATCTAAATATCTGAATTGATAGTAGCCAGCAAATGCTTCTTTAAGCCATAAATAACCCCACCAATTGGGTGTTACCAAATTTCCAAACCACATGTGAGTAAATTCATGTACAATAGTTTCAGCAATTGTTTTTTGTACAATAACTGATGATTCTTTTTTATCATAAAGAAGAGCTGATTCTCTAAATGTTACTAAACCCCAATTTTCCATTGCAGTAAAATACATTTGTGGTAATGCAATCATGTCCATTTTTTTAATTATTAATGGTTGTTTAAATAATGTTCCTAAATTATTTAAAATATTTGTCGATATTTGTTCGGCATAATTTGTTTGATCTGTTAAATCTTCTCTAGTCCAAATTTTAATATTTTTCGTATTTGTTGAATTTAATTCACCAATGACAAAACCAACTAAATATGTTGACATTTTAACACTTTCTTGAAAAATATCCAATTGATTTGATCCTCTAAAATTTAGAAAATGAAAAATATTTAAAAGGTATATATAGAAATTTTTATATCAATTATTGGTACCTACAAAACTTCTGTACTATTAACACGTGGCATATTGCTTAAAGCAATAAAATTAGATGGTCTTCGAATGCGAATTTTGAAAAATGCTTTAAATGCAGGTTCATCAAAACATGGAAAAGCGTGTCTGGCATAAATTGGACTAAATTGAGTTGCAGCCATTTTTCTATAAATATTTTTTTCAAATAAATTTTTTGCAATTTTAATAATTATAGAGTTTACTAAAAAAAAAAGAGTAAAAGAATATTTATTACTTTTCCTCCCCTTTTTGATTAAAGTAAGTCATCTTATAAAATCCTTTAAGATCATCGTGAGCTTCACCAGAATAAACAATTACTATAAAAATTTCACTTTCTTTTGAAAGAACATTTTTCAATGTTATTGAATATTTTTCAGTGATTGGATCATAATTTTTATTTTCTATTATTAATTGCTCCTTTTTATGTAAAACAGAAACACCTTTGATACTCAATTTACCATAATGTAGAACAATTTTATTTGTTTTCTCTTGAACAATGGCTTTAATTTTTACCGTGCCACGAAATGTGAGTTCTGGTAAAAAATTTAATGTAAGTTCATAATTTATTGGTATAATTGAAGTGGGCAAACGATAATTTATTAATTCATTTTTTTCAATTCCATTGTTTTCAAAATTTACTGCTTTTACTATTGCAAATAGTTTCAAAAGAATTAGAAAGGGAATTTGTTTCCCTTTAATCATTTTTTCTGTAATATTAAAAATTATAAAAATTATTTTAACAATTTCAAAATTATTAAATTGTAAATAAATTATTAAATTAATTACCTGGATTTTGAAATTAATTTAGAGTACTTTTTAAAGCTTACTGTCACAAAGTATGGATATTGATGAACTGTAAAAAATTATTAATAATTTATTTTCTTTTCTATCTTATCGTGGATAAAAATTATCAGAATGTAAAGAAAAAACAAATTAGTTAATTTAGATTTTGAGATTTATAGATAAATTACATTGTGTTTCCAGAATGTATAGATTATCAAATCTAAATCATACTCTAAAGTATGATAAGATTTATGTCTAAAAGTGAGATTGCTTGTAATATTTTGCAATGCTATTATTGAATTTTAGTGTCGCAGAAAAAAATTATTTATATCTACCAAAAGTGCGGCATATATTTTTTTGTTCGCAACTTGCGGGTTTTTGAAAATTTCAAAAATTCAAAAAATTTATCTTTATCTAGCTCAGCATCCACTGGACCAATCACAAAAATTTTAATATTCCCAAAAATTTTTTTTTGATTAAAAATTTAATTAATTCAAAAAGCAAGAAGTGAGTAACTATTTCATATAAGTTCAAATTTTCACTAAATAATTCTAAGGCAAAAAAAAATATTTCAATGGTTTTTAATTCTAGTGAAACTTTTCGCTGGATTTTTTTTCCATGTTAGATCATTTAATTAAAATATATATTTTTCAAAAATCCAGGTAAAAAAAAGGAAATATATAATCCTTTTTCTGTTTATGGAAAATTTTTCGTGTTTATTATTTTTTTAATCTCCATAAAAATTACATAAATCTTTAAACATTGAGAAATGAAAAAAAAATGTTCTTTTTAAAAGGATGTTTCGAATGATATTTGTACACGAAATCGAGCAATTAATTAAACGCAAGCTTTATTAGATGAGAATTCCATAAAACTCAGTCGTGTAGTTTTTTTTTTTTTTTTTTTTTTGTTTTTCTCTTACAAATATATTAAATAAGATTTTAAGATTAAAGAGAAATATTAGCGTCTACAATTGTTATCAAAGTCCAAAGGTCTTTGATAATAAATATATAAGTTTATATTTAATAATGTTGAACTATATATCGTTGATGAAAGTTAAACTCGAATATATTATTTTCATAAATGAGTGCACATAAATCTGCCTTACATTTAACATCGTTTTAATATAGCTTTCAATCAAAAACAGAATTTTCTGATTTTTGCATATATGTTATATGTACATTTAAGTTGTTTCAACCGACAAATAAAGTACAACATAAGCATATATGCAAAATATCCTTATTATCCAAGCCGGTCGTCCTATAAAGCCGCATAAACATTATAATGCGCGAGATATGAATCTTCATCTGACCGCATCTTTTCCTCTTGTATATATATATATTTATAAATATATATGGGAACCATGAAAGTGCGAATGGGAATGAAAATCGTTGTAAAAGAGATAAAACTAAATTAGTCTAATGCGGAAATAATTTGCACTTGATAAAAAGATAATTTATTGTAAATTTAGATTTTATATCGAATAAATTGACAAGTTGCAAATTATTACGTTTTTTTTTTTTTGTTTTAGTTGAAAAAAAATCACTATATATAAAGAGAAAGCAATTTTCTATATCTAGAATTACAATATTTATCTTTTATCGTTAAAATGAAAACGATAAAAGAGAACCACTTCAGTAGTCGTACTGTTTATGGTAAATAGTTTTGAGTGAAAAAAAGATTCAGTGACTCTTTAAATCTTGAATTTCACGTGTATCTTAAAATCCAGTTTAAATATATGTCATTAAGATTCCAGGTGAATTATAAAAGGCGCTTTAGTCATTAAAGCCCTTATGTCGTTTTTCATAGACTTACACAAATTTTTTATAGAGAGAAAAAAAAAAAAAAAAAAAAAAAAACGAGAGGGGGAGTTTCTTAATGTAAATGCACGTATAAATTATGAAAACACCTCTGAACATGTTTAAGCTTAGGTAGGGCACACTGTCCACCTACACATTCATTCATAGAGAATGTATGACTTCCTTGAAATGAATATTTCGAAAAAGCGATGAGCAGTGCATGACAAAGGAAAGTGCATTCGATAATCGTTGCTTTTTTTTTATTAAAAAAAAATTCTTATCAAAAATCCCATTCCTAAAACTAATGTATAACAGAATATTTTAGAATTACATTCATATGTTTTATTTGAACCAAATATAATACACCGTCCGACACAATTTTTGACCCACAAAAAAATTTAACATTTTCGGAAATTAGGACCCAAAAAAAAAATAGCCGTAACTGGTCGTTTTGCTAGATCAAGTCGTTTGTGGTTTTTAGAGGTGAAAACAAACCCTAAATGAAAAGTGCGACAAGATATCTTTTAAAAATTATTAATATTTTATAAAACTTGGTATTTTGGGGGTTTTCGGGGTCACTGATTATTAATCTGATGTTAGATTTTCAAAATTCAAAATGGCGGATACAATATGGCGATCACATTTTTAAAAAGTTATTAATTTTTTATTTTATATCCGCCATTTTGAATTTTTAAAATTTAACATCAGATTCGTCATCAGCGACGCAAAAAACTCCTAGATACCAAGGTTTAAAAAAAATTTAATAACTTTTTTAAATTTTGACCGCCATATTGAATCCGCCATTTTGAATTTTGAAAATCTGACATAAGATTAATAATCAGCGACCGGTGATATATATTTAAGTTAAACAAACGTACAGCCTATTTATTTGGTGTAAATAAAATTTAAATTAAATAAAAATCTATTTGAAGATAATTATTAGGGCAAAATTGAAATTTTATTTAATAAAAAATTTAAAGTAATAATCAAATAAGAAAGATATTTTGAACGTTTCTCAAGAAATATGACAAATTTTCTTTTTTTTGACAAAATTTTCCAACTTTCATGTATATATATATATATATATAAATTGATTGTACTCGATTTATTGTTTGTTCAATATGTCCATTCAGTTCTCTAGAAAGGGCAATTTCGTGTCGCGAAGAATTTACGATTCAAACGTTAGTTAGGATATATTTGCATATATTGATTTTATAAAGCATGTCCCTTTTCATGAAACCACGCAGTCTGATTTGTTTCTATGTTTTATCTTGAAAAAAAAATTGAAATAGTTTCTAGATTTATAAATATTCGCAAGATTTATAAATTTAGAATCTTGTTATTCTTGACAGAAATTCACTATCTTATATTTCTATTTAAAATATAAAAAAAAAACTAATTTTTAAAAATCAAATTTGTTTAAAAAGAATTTTTAATTTTTTTTTTTTGAAAGTTAAAAAAAATGAGAAAATCTAAACTTAAACATAAATAAATGTCATTCAAGTGATAATCCAAGAAGAAAATAAAATAAAATCTCTGTTTGCCTCTATATTGAAAGGCGAAGTTAAATTTACAGCTAGTGGGTGCGTGGGAAGAGTGAAAATTTACTGCCCGCAACCAAAAACGCGCGCTCGGCAGCTTTATATTATATAAAACCTCCGAAATTCGAGGGTTGACTGTCCCGAGAGAATCAGAAGACATTCGATTTAAGTAAATAAATAACGATCTTTTTGGCTTAGACAGATACAACCCAACGAACAGATATCACGCTCTCCTAAAGAATTTATTTAAACTTTTTTACTACCTATAAATAAGACTTGTGATCGTCTCTTCATTCAGGCGACTTGCAATCGTATTTTGATGCGATAAAAAAAATATAATCGTTATAAGAAATTCTTTCTCACCTCTTCAAATTATTTTTCTTTTTTATAATTCACGTTCAAAAATTGATAGCATATAATTATTATTATAATTTATAATTTATTATTTATTATTAAAATTATAATTATTTATTATTATAATAATTATAACTGTTTTTTTTTATATTTTGATATAATAAAATTTATGTATACGAATTGCGTCTAGGAAATTGTGATCATTAAATTGGACTTTTCTATTTTTTTGATGAATGTCTTATATGTTGCAAGCGAGCTCAATAGGTGTTCTCATTACCACCCGTTGATATAATAATTTATCATTTTTCGGGGTTATAAAATTTTACCATGTCGTGCAATAATTTTTAAAAAAAAATTTCTTTTACAGAGATATATATATATATATATTTTTGTGAATTAAATGAGTCTTTCGTGACTGTGAATTTTTTTCGCTGAGGATTAATCCATTTTTAGCTTTGATAAAGATCTCGGAGAATGCGTTTAGATCTCACAACTTGTCACGACAGTAAAATTTTATAGTTTACAGCTTCTAATAAAAATATCTCACTCGTGAAAAATCTTCATTTTATTTTTGTTAAATTTGCATTTAACTTTCTTTTTTGCTTTGATTCAAATAAAATGATTATTTTTATTATTGAAGATTCATTATTATTAACGAAATAATTGAATGCATTTATTTAATTATTATTATAATTGAAATGGTGATTGAAAATTTTTTTAATAATATTATACAGGATAATTTAAAATTTAATTTTAATTTACTTTCTCCCTTTTAAAAAATTAATTTTCATTTACTTAAAACCCCTTTTTTATTCGTAACTGTAGTTCAATAAATAGTAAAAATTGCAAATAATAAAAAATTAATAAAAAATAAATTATATATAGAAATTGCATTTTAATTTTTAAAATAAAATTTTTTTTTTGAAATTATTTAAAATTGGTTAAAATTGTTTTAAATTGTTTAAAAATATTTAAAAATTATTTTAATTGCGGCTTTGTAATAAAACACGATTCGCGGTTAAGAGAAAGTTTCATAAATGTTGTTTTTATCGACTGTTCGTAACTTATCTTACTGAAAGGTAATGCAGTTATCTTCTTTTACTGAACGTGGTATTCGCTTTTTTAGTTCTTGATCCTTCCAAATGAGCACTGAAATTAAAATATTTTTTACGTATGTAAATATTTGAAAGTAAACTTCAATAATTCTATTTTTTTATTCCTCAATTTTTTTTATCTTACATTTTACCAATTAATAAATTGAATTATTATATAAACGTTTGTTTGCAAATTTTGGGGGCTTTTATTAAAATGAAAATTTTAATAATTTATTTGTATATATATATATATATGTATATATATACACAACCTAAGTAATATTTGTATTCTCAATAAAATATAACAAACTAAATCCAGCGTGCTCTCGTCCATCGATCACTTCCGCATTTTC